ATAGGGACGTTGTGGAAGACGAGGAAATATCCGGTATGTTGAATTAAACCAGGGCAAATTTAGACGAATGAGGAAGTGCATGTACAACGTAAATAATTCAGGACAAGTCAGAATAGAAGCGGGGGGTTGGGCTGGCTGGCCTACGGGCCTGTTCTGCAGGAATTCAGATGACCTTTGGAATCCCTTATACGGTGGAATCATCAGTGGGGTTACGAGTTTCCGATTTGGAACAGATGGCACAGCCAACGCCCCTTGATTTCTTCCTGTCAGAGCGGTGAACATTACATACAGAAATTGAAATAGCCGTGTCTGGAGTTTTATCTGCGAGCCATGTTTCAGTCACACAAATCAGACTTGGTCGTGAATTGGTGCTAATGGTTTGGACATTGCCGGCTTTTTGTAGCAACCAGTGGGCGTTAAACAACGTTATTGACAAATTCATTGGCGAACAAGCAGTACTAAGTAGGAAGTTACTAACCTCGCTCGTAATGAAGCATAGTACTTGGAGGATAGGAAGACTTAAAAAGTGGATGTAGGATAACATGAAGCAGGGCCCACTGGGGCCATGCTTGGAGTCCAAAATGGGACATTCAGCACTGGAGGCAAATGGGTAAATAGTTGGTAAATTAAGGTAAATAAGGAGTAGAGCGTGTAGTAGAATAAAGTGTGACTTGCTGTGTCGCCTTCGACATCGTTGGATGAGGAGGGGCAACAGAAAATGGTGTTAAGGTGGGACGAAACTGAATTTGAAGGGTGGCGGAAGCGGATGGCTGGCGAAACTGGTCACCGGTCCATGTCGATTCGAGGGTTTTTCAGACACGTATTTCGTTTGATTTGGTGTAACTTTCAAGGGTCGTACAGGTGGAGTCGCACCCGATTTCGAGGGGAGAGGATGTGATAGGTTTGTAGGTAACTGCCGAGTAGAGAAACTGAGCAAAATTAAGTGCGTGTGGCCACGGGATGGTGCTCGATAAGGACTAAGAGTATGCAAAGGTGTTTGGGCACTATGAGCCCATCAAGGACCATTTTCGCATAGTTTTGGGGCCCACAGGTGTATTTTTATATCATGCATGGTAAGGGTAATTCTATGGATTAGACAACAGGTATTTTGGCGCCGCAGAATGCGCATTGGTGAAAAAAGTCTGTGTCGTTGTGTCAGGAGGTTTTGAGTGAGAGATTGTGCTGTTATCTTCGATTTCGGCGTCAGGTAAAGAGAGATGAGGTACCATGCATGCAAATAAGTGCTACCTACAAAATGAGAAGAATTTTATAGGTACATAACGTGAAACGTTGAGAATTTAGCTGGATTTCGATAACAAGGCAATCAGCTTCCATCGGAGGGCTTCAGGCAAAAATTCATAGCGGTGCTTCTGAGGCTGGCGACCATTTTTTTCCACACTCACTTTCTCTCTCAGGTTATGGTACTGCACACATTAAATTCCGGATAAACTAGTCCATTACCTCGGAAGCTCACTTCCGCCGGTGCACAAACGTTTGTTTCTCCTATTTATGCCACCTCTCTGCGTGATTGCACCGGTCTGCTATAGATCGCTGGTGCTATAATATAATATACAAGCAATCTCAAACCCTCATTAATTGCTCCTCCACTAAATACAAATCTGCCCCTATCCTGTCTCTCTACCCTGATTGTGGTAAATGTTAAGTTTTTTCTCTAGTAATATTTGCTATCCTATCTGATGTCTCCTCAAACTCCGAGGCCTCACTGAACTCATCTCATTTTCTCGCCTTCTTAAGCTTCAAACTTCGGCAACACTTGTTTTGGACACCCTGTGATATGCATATGCAGGAATACCCAGCCGGACGAGAACGATGCCCGCGATCGTACATCGGCCTCGCTCCACCTCTATTTCTTTGGCCAACCTGAAAATATCCCGAAGCTCAAAGAATTGCACAGCCCAGCCCGATGGCTTCAAGCAAGGCGTCTGTCCAAAGAGCGAAGTAAGTGAGGCCGATGATCGCACGGCACTTCTATGCCCAGTTTGATAAGAGATCCTCAACTATTCGCCTCCTACTCTTGGCTACGCCCTCTCTTCCCACTAATTGCAAGTACGAACAAACTCTTCACCTATCCCCAGTCACCTCCAGGACACCTTCATTCTAATCTACTGCGGACTAAACCATTTCGGTGGATATTCACTCTGTGCTCCCCGTCTTGTGAGTTGTCAAAAACTCACTAACTCGAGGAACGGTTACACCCGACTCCACGACAAAAGTGATACTAGCGAGTCTCTGCCGCTTCACTGTACACCATGGTTCTGGGATCCTCGCTGCCATTTATCCGCATTGCTGATCTTTCCGTTTCATCATCCTCACTTACACTTTTGTGGCCCTGACAAAAAGCCCAAGGCCAAAGTGCCTTAGCGGCAGTTTCAGGTTTTAGTTGGAATTGACCGTATGAATTACGCTCAATCTGGCGCTTTACCAGATTCGTCGATGAGTTCCCTTATTCGCTATAATTTGCGCTGTTCTTGTCATTTGTCAGGCAGAAAGCCTCTTCTTTTGCCCTCCCTCATTTTGTTTTTGCCCGGTATCTTCGAGCTCCGGCGGCCCGATCTTCCTTCAGCTCGATATTTTCCCCTCAAAAGCAGTCGTAGCTGTCGTTTTCGTCCCGTTTCGGTTTGGTGGTGACCACATCTACATCGCATGACACCGACTTCTATGACACTTTCTTTCGTGCAATCACATGTACCCACAAGCTCCGCCGGTCATGCTTCCACTCTGATGGTAGCGAACATGGCTGATGCGAACATGGCTGATGATGTACCGCCCACCAGTTTGAGATGAACGCTTTTAGTACTATTATTATTAGAGCTTGAAGAAATTAAGATGGAAGCCATATGGCTGATTCAGCAATGATGAACAGAGGTTTCGTGAAGACGTTAAAGATAATCCGTGCTAAGCCGAGAAGCGCATTTGTTCTGACTTCGTTGGGAGCAGCAGCAATCGGTGCCTCACTAAACCCAGAGCGCAAGCCCAATGCAAGTTATCGCTTGAAACCTGATAGAACAGCATTTTCAAGAAAAAGCAGCGTGGATGGTCGAACTCAAGAGGCCGCGGTGTGGCGCTATAGACCATGAGGTGGTCACCAGCAAAAACTAACTCGGTGGTTAGGGCGGCCGGCCGCAATCGAACCTGGTCTGGCTATGACATAACGGACGCCATCCAATTCTAAATATGTGACATCAAGGGAGAAGGTCACAATCAGAATATGGGGCTATGAGAACCGTAAGTTGATGGCTGGGGTGTTTTAGCAGCTAAAATTTGTTGGTAGAAGCTGGCCCCATAATATGTACCGATACTGGCGCTGAAATCGAAGATGAGGGTACTTGCTTTTTCGGCTATGGACGCTCGTGACTTTGGAGCACAGGGAATGGAGATTCAGTGATGGCATACAGGAGTACAAGTGTGTGAATTCTGCGCATCTGAGAGAGAGAGAGAGTAAACATAGTCTGCGCCCCCACCGAAAGGGTACGTCTCAAAGTCTGCTGGGGGAAGTAACTGACAATCAGTAAGACAGAAGTGAGGTTGATAATATAGATGTGGAATAAAGAGTTGTGCGCTAGCTGGTTCCAGGAAAATGGTATTTGGAAGCTGATATGGACAGCAGGTGACGGGCTCCGCTAAAAACTAGCTGGAGAATGTAGACGTGCGCCTGGATATTTAAAGGAAGCTTCCTACCGAGAAGTAAGGAGTGGGAATTTGCATTAGGTACCTGGTCAATTTTTCGGACCACATAATATCAGTCTCGAGATTTTATGGCTCTAAAACATGAAGTCCGTGGTAATGGCATTGGTTTTAGTGTTCCAATTTGGCGTGAAATCCGTCTCAACTGAAGAGGGCTGAGACGAGCATTTGACAGGTGACGGAGGGTTGAAGATTCGTCTGTTCCCTGGGTTTGGCCCAGAGCAATTGCCGCAAGGGACGTCGACTACCTACATGTTTTTAACTGGCACATAATAAGCGAATTGAGAAAAGCTTGAATAAAAGGGCTTCTCAAAAGATGTGAATCCGGTTGAACGAATAGATCGGCGGTTACAGCCATCATTTGCATTGGGGAGGAGGGCTACGCAGTTCATCCCTCTCTCCTTGGAACGAGGAGGTGATCAGATATGGAAATTCCATTGAGGACAACAATAATAACGCGGTTGGAATGGGGGCCAAGATCAAAAGGGTAGGGGTAACAAAATGGTTTCCACTATTTTGTTCTTTCTTGGTGTCATTGTTTTTTCCAGGTTATTTGTCAATACTTGGATGTTAAGGCTCATTAACCTGTTGTGAACTGTTTGTGGTGAAAAAAGGGGCAAACATGATAAGGGTTTATCTCTGACTGGAGCATTCGCTTGAGCCAGTGGAGCTGAATCAGCTGGTCAGTAATCGAATTAGCACTTCCGTGGGAATATATACCACCGTTGCACATGAGATCAAGGATAAGGAGACAGGTGGCCATTAGAGTGCACAAGCGAGTGGTGGAAACCGCGCATCGACAGCCGGGGAATAGGTTTGTGAAGGGGTAAACGCCGCTTTATCGCGCGACTCGGAACCATTCTAGTATCGCAGACCGATGACCACATGACTGTCGCACCATCGGCGCGTGATTTTGCAGATAATTGGAGCTCAGGAGAGCCCAGGAAAAATTTTAAGTGGATATTTTAGGAACTTGTAGAAATCCAAAAAAACCGCGGACGAGCGGCGCTTAAAAGAGGTCGGGAAGAAGGAAGAAGCTATAGAGGCGTGAAAACCCTCCTCAAGCACGGAAACTTCGTACCACCATGTCTCTCTAGTTTGTCCTGGACTTTGAACAGAGTTGCATCACTTACTCCTAGAAATTTCAGATTCCCAGATAGTAATACAGTCAGAGACCTAGCGTTCAGAAATACTCTATTTGTGGCTCGCTCATAAGCCACTACGACCTACCGAACTTGGTTACATGAACTAACATTTAGCTCACGTTCCCATCCTCCCTCAAGGTCAGGAAACGGTGCTGATTTAAATTTTACAACTGCAGGCCGTGCTTGTGAGCAGTTGATTAAAGGTAAGCTATTCACCAGTTGAGTGACATTATTTAACGGACATGAAATAGAAACATGAAAGTGGCAAGGTCTCCGGATAGCGTGATTAGGGAAACCACATCACCTTTACGTTGTCTACCTCAAGCTTTTCAAGTGAGAGGTAATATTGCACCCCAGAATTTCCAAGAATGTGTTCCGACTACAAAACCTTTCTCATGCAAGTTATCTGGAAGGCGTTATTAAGTTATTTTACAAGAGTGCCTTGACTTTATCCGTAAGATGCTGAATAGAAAATCTGTCGCACTTTCTCCGTTCAGATAACTACTCGAAAAACGAGAATGAAGCTAGTAACTTTCTGTATCGGGAGAGTATCATATGCATCCTTCCACCAAATGGTTCACTTGCACACTGTGAATGTAGGTGGCTCCCGAAGACCATTACCCCATGGTACTGCTAGGAATTCTGAGCGGATCTTGAGAAAGAGATTACCAAGTCTGGTTAACAGATATTTGGCCGAAACAGTTCAGTCTCCCATCATTAAGACAGGTTATTAGAATAATGGCTGCTGGTTTGTAAATGATTATAGAACCTATAGAATTCATAAAAATCAAAAGATTGTGGTAATAGTGGAATTCAGCGGAGGTAAAATTGGTGGTGACGGTGACAATGTCTAGCGGTATTCGGGACGAAAGTAGTGGATAAAGACCTTGGCGTATGCCTAATATCTGGTTCCATGGATCCTGTTTGATTTCAAAACCATACAAGAGGAGCACCAAATGATCTAAACTTCTCTCGAAGTATTTCAGCGCAGGGTTATGTGGAGCCCTGGTCGCACTGAAAGCGGAATTGCACAAACGTGATGGAACTTGTGAAATTTTGAATTCAAATTTCCAAGCACCAGAAACCATGAAAGACGCTAGAGAGAGAGACCGACTACCATGACGTCGTTACTCGAATATGGCTTTGTCAAACAAGTAGTAATGCCATGTAACAGAATGACAATCCACATAGTTATCCGAGATTTTAGCCGAATAATATGGCACATAATACAAGGTTCCAGTATGTCCTGTGGGTATATGAATGCGTTTATTTGCTACAATCGATGGTGATTTACAGCGAACTTTAAAATCTCAAAACAACCGTAGTTTATGGGCTGTGATAAGGTGAGAGGAAATAAACCCGCCAAAAGTGAGAACAGAAGCACAGTTACATCTGTTTAAATAGGTGCAAAAATATGTCATATAAGCAGAACCGCATGACTAAGGCGAGGCTCACTGCAGCTGGATCCGCGAAGCAATCAGAATTCCTTCACTTTGGAAGAGAAGTCAATCTAGATGGTGTGCTCGATATTGGGAATATGTATGGCGGTGGCGTGCACAACGTTCTCAAGTGCAGAGGGTAGACATATGCACGGTAAGAAAGAGCACGTACGCTTTCGGCGAACAACCAAATCTCCAAACCAGTTTGCTAGGCCAATAATAGCTGCTTGGGAGTACGTCAACTTGGAGAGGTTTCTTCGATGGAAGAATTAAAGACCGAGAAGCAACATTTATGTTGTACTAGCACAAAGGAAACTTATCTCTTGTGCAATATTGGTAAAAAAAGAACATTCTTGTTTGCATTCTGCGCATCCTACGGTAAAATGAACACGTCACGTTGTGAACCGGCTTTGCGTTTTTGTATTTGGTAAGAAACCTCATTTTCCTCCATAGTTTTCCCTTTTTATGTTAAAATGTTGTAAAGCTTAAGGATGCTGCATATTTTTGAGTTTTTGAGCGCTAATTTAACCACTCTGACCACTTTAATGGACATATGGCTTTTTAAAAAATAAATCCGTTCACAATAATTTTATCTGTGTTCATGATTACTCAAGCAGAAAAAAATGTACTTGCTGAGCTAGACCAGCTTGATGCCTGGATGGCCCGCTTTTATGAAGGCAAGTAATTAACAAGGAAGTGTTTTAAAGCAAATGAAAATTGTTGTTGGCAGAAAAAAATACCCTTGGTATCAGCAAACAAGAGTAACAGAACTCATTCGCAATCTTTTGTCACAAAAGAAGTGACAAAGTTCCCAAAGTTAATAAGAACCAAGCTAACTGCGATAGGCCTAACTTTGTCTTCCACATAAGTTTGACCAAGTAGTTTTCTTGTAAACTTTGTGGCAGTTGAATGTGTGTGGACATATGTAGCACATTACATGCTTTCAGTTGATTGCGACGTTTAGCTCAAATAAACAAGAGTCGATACATTTGACGCCTATAAATAACACTGTGTTGTAAATGAAACAGAGTTTTGCAATTTTTCGCATTGAATGTAAAGGTTTCGTAAAAAGCTGGTTGGAAGCACTGCTATCAAGCAGTGCATACGCTTGTAACGTGGCACGAGGTAGCAGGTGAAACAAAATATATGGTATTAGGAAAACAAAAAATCACTCTCATTTGAGCAAAAGAGGCCAAAATTTTTGGAGTTCGAGGCTAATTCGTAACATCCGACTATAAGCAAACAAACTGGTTGGCAGCATCAAACGTGAAACATCACCGTTTTATTTGTTTTTTTAAGTCTAGCAAAGTACTTTTTGCGAAAGATTAGAATGGATATCACTCTAAAATGTGCCCGTGATTGCCTGTTGAATCAGACCAACATAAACTATAAGGCACATCATTTTAACAAAAAAGCGATAATGGGCCTTGATAAATTCGTGCAAATCAATTGGCATAGGAGATTTCAGATGTAAACAATGACAGTGTTCGCACCCTCTTTAGAAAGAGCGTAATAACGGCGGAATGATATAGAAACTTGTAGGTTTGGTTCGCAGTGAGCATAAGGAGTTCGCAGAATAAATGCCTAAACTCATAACAAACACAAACCAACCCATTCTACAAAACGCCCTAAAATTACATGAAATAAAAAATATCCGTCCAGACAAGATTATAATACGAGCTTACCATAGGTCTGAGAATGTTCAGCTGTTAAATAAGGATAGATACGCAGAGTTCTACGGAGATGTCGCAAGAACGAATGAAAGGAGTTTAAGTATTATTTCTATTCTGATAAAAATCACGGAGCGTTTTGTATTCATATGTGAGGATCGTATAGCAACAGTTTAGTCACCTTTAGTATACCGGACGCCACACAGGGGTGGACAGAAGGATATGTTAAACGTGAAAAAAATTATTTCCTCAAAAACGCAGACAACTTGCGCAGGCTGTGGGAAAAGCTACGCCGAGTCGTGTTCTAGTATTGCCGATTGAAAAGCTTTAGGGAATTAGATTTAGTGAGAAACCATGAAACGTCATTCTCGAATGAAAACATAGCTGCATTCTTCACCATCTGCTTTTTATGCTCCATTTTTTGCTAAACAAAGTATGTGGATTAAAAATTATCTTATAAGGTAAATTGAATCAGTTAGTTAGCGAATTTAGCGAGTGGAATAACTTGACGTTGCATAGACGGCTGATACGTTGAACACGCTTGTTTCATAGTTAGATTTTGTCAACAGGACACTGAGAAATAAAACATAATATTTCCCGAATTTTGCCATATACAGAACTGATTTGCTAATCTTTAGACGGCTGATGTTCTGGTTTAGTGGAATTAATTTTAACTAATCTTGCTAAGAAGAAAAAATTTACAGATGTGCAGCTATAACCAACGTGTAGTCCAGGGCTATGAAGGCACTTCCAAAATAACTGAAGTATGTGAATGTTGCTTGTTGCAGTTCAAAATTTACTAGATATTACTTATGTAGGCACATCTTGATTACAAGAGAGGTGCAAAAACGTCCTCATTTGATGAAAAAACTGGTGGAAAGTGGCTTTGGAAGTAAACTATGGTGATGGCAACAAATTAATCTGTCTCAAACCTGTGACTTGGGAATTATTTTAAACTAATGAACACTTGCCGTACTGTGTATATGAGAGCGTCCCAGAGAAATTAGGAATTGAGTCGGTCTTACAGAGTTGCAGCCTACCAGTCAAATCAGATATGAAACTCAAGTGGCAGTCCGACAAAAACATTCCATGATATCATCTTTAGTAAACCAAGTAAATTGTAGAAACTTTGGGCAAACACTTGGTCGAAAAACAAAGGTCCCGTTATGATCCGTTCTTTTGCGTTTCTATTATTTGCTTGTTTAAAGTAAGTGGCTACATACGTTCCGTAAGAACTTTCGCCTCAAGATTATTGACGAATTTTACGAAAGGCACCAAAATGTCTTGTGATGCTTAGCCGAAAAATATTAGTTTTAGCAGTTTAGTGCCTTTTTCTATTGTAGTGACTCTGCGGGCAATGCATGTGCGCACTTAAAAGAATAAACAATACTTTGCTTCAGACGAATGCCACATAAACCAACTAAAAATTTATTGAGAACACGAAGACACTGTTTTGGGTTGGGAACCATCCGACATCACGTTTCACTAAACTTTGAACTCCACTTCGTGTGTTACTCTGGTCAATTCTTCTGCCTGAAAATTTCTAGCAAAACTTGCCGTCCTTCTTCAGGCATAATTATAACAGAAGGAAATCTTCAGAATATTTATACTATTACACAGTTCAGATATGTTTAAAACAAGGCTGTTGTTTTCAGAAGTATCCTCCAAATTCGCTCTTGGTTGGCCGCCAAGTTGGACACTGGAATATCAGTAACAGAGCTTTGTTTTACACACTAAACTGACGTACGCTTGTGGCTTCGTTTTTTAAACGATTAGTAAGAGCCAAAAAGTGCTGTTGATAAGCCAACCTATAATACTACGCGTATGCATGCTTGTCAAGGCATCTACGAAACACCAACGGTAATAAAACTCCTAACTAAGCCATCCTTCAATAAGCTGTGTCAGGTGTGGTGATTTTCCTCCGATAACAAGCCGAGGCGTCAGTTATACTTTAAAGTCAGCAAAACACCAATTGGTCTCTAGGCGTTGTGCTGTGCACAACTGGAACCAGCACTGAATGGTAACCTGCAATGATTCTGTGGCTGGTTTTCAGGCCCGGTTACAAGAAAATCTCAATAACCCACCTAGAAAGATAGTCGCTTTAAAGTGAAAGCGAACAAATTACTTGATACTTTGGCACAACCATATAAATGGGTTAAATGGCTGCTCTTAAAATGTTGATCGCTAGATTCTAGAGAGTTTGAGATACAGCCTAACTTCAGCTGTTGTTGCATGTTTGTATTAGGCGAATATAGAGGCTCATTATGTTTACAGTCAGGGAAGAATAACTCTATTTCAAGGTTGAGGTTGGTGTGGAATATACCGCTATATTGTAGGTTATATTCGATCCGCAGGCAAGTCAGCGTATTTGGATATGTTGACCTAGCCGCTTCTTCCCGATCTAGATGTCTCTAAAGTCAAGGATTTCATGGAAAAGCAAGCAGATGGTACTCTAAGCTGACGGCAGAAAATGTGCGATTTTCTATCTTTGACAACCTTTTATATTATCATAGTTTTGTCATTCTCTCCACACCAAACCCTAGACTATTCCTCTTGAGATATACAATCTAAAATATTAATGTTAAAACGGTTTGCTAGTGTGTGAACCAGGGTGATTTACGGGTTCGAGAACTAATTCGATTGCACAATAGTTGTCATTTTCCTTTGATTGAAGTCATTAATGTTGTATACCGTTGTCTTGTGGGAATGTATTTTTTGAATTTATGAACAATATTAAGAGCTTTTGTATTCTTTGTTGCAGCACTTGATTCAGCCGGATTTTTTCGATTCCTAATTGGCCGTCGGGCGTTTGGAGAAGCGAGGCTTTAACTCATCTAAGCTATATATATTGAATTGGTGGGTTTGCGTTTCGTCTATGATTCTAAGACCTTTGATCATTGCTCCATAAAGATTGTTTGACGGTCCAAAAGGCTTGAATGGCGCACAACTGTATTCATTCACTAAATTTCACTCATTATAAGTCCCCACAGGTATCCTTTGGGTACGAGATTTGCAGTTTAACTATCCTCTTGGATGGAAGAGCTTATTCGGCATGCCCAGTTAAACCTTGGTGCACCTCTTTGCTATACATAAAATCAAAGTATAATGTTTCTCACATATAAACCTCCGTAGAGACCACTTCATCCAAATGATCTTTATTGAATTTTGACTAGTAAATTTTTTCATTACAGATCATTGTTTGTCCAATGGTAAACCTATGAGGGATTGTCGCCTTCTAAACTTTCATCATACTTGCAAATTTGTTCACTTTTGGCCCCAAGATTTATGAAGTACTTTTCTGCTTTCAGAGGAGTTGTCTGTTGAGTGCCAGGCAACTCTGCTGATACCGAAAATGAACCATTTATCTTCAGCATATTGTCGGTTTATTGGGATATCAAAGATGCAAATCTGGTTTACGTTTGGATTTACTATCCTTGTCTCGCTGGCGTGACATTTTGTGGTAGGGTTTTATCGGGTGTGTAAGTTAGGACCTAGTAGCCAATTTGAGTGCGAGAGGCTGGTATAGCATACTTTAGTGGAGTGTACAGCATGATGCTGTCATTTCTGATACCAATACGCACGAAGACTTGTTTGAATCTATTTTGGCTGCATCAGTGGAAACACTGACATCTGAGTTAGTTCAGATAGAAGGGACCTCAAAATCCAGCATTTTTAAGGTGTCCTTTTTGGCAAAAGACAATATCACTGTCCCAATAGAAGTAGAGCTGCCGGACCGGTACTAGATACAGCTTACTGTACAAACACTTCCGCTTTAGCAGACAATATTAATTTTCTTGCTTGATAGGTGATAGGTGTCTTTTGTCTGCCCACACGCCATTGTCCCGTCTGGCACAGCGAAGTCCGAATTCAATCCAGGGTCACTGCAGTACACATACATGATCGCTATACAAAATTCATGGTCAGAATATGCTTATTGACATTAGCGAATTAATGAAAAGTCAGCTTGTATATTGAGTGACGCACCTTCTTCAAACGGAAAAAAGGTTTGCTCTCTGGAATTTTACTTTTGATTTCAGCGGGTTACCAATTTCCAGTGAGAGGGTTGTCACTCCCAAGAGAGCCGACTGCATGTTTCAGATTGTTGAATACAACTGTTACTGGTGCCTCGCTTATTTTGTAAGTCACCAAAAACAAATTGATGTTTTGGCTTGTGTTTCATGCAAATTTCTTTCTTGGCGGCGACACTGCTGAAGGACGGATTTCGGGTCACGACTATTTTTGTTTTATGAAACAAATGATTTATTGTAGCCAGGTCACTTTGTCACACACTGAAATGGTTTGCAATGTTGAGGAACATATATATGTATATATGTATACATAAGCTCAGATGGGCAGCTTGGTTGTTGGTTCATCCACCGACTTTGACATTTGGATTGCAAACGTTTCATCAGGGTGAAATCGTCAGTGCGGAGTTGAGTGGGTAAATTCCTCCTCTTCCACTTGTGTTCGCGTAGTTTCTAAACAGCACCTGATAGCTATAAGTAATTGGTTGGTCGCGAGGCGGTCTTCGCGTCGTTTGTTTGGTCACCTAAGAATCCAATTTGCATTGTGATCTTACTGCCTGGTTGGTTCGTTGAACGCACTTAGTTCGACAGTTCTGTTTCCCTGTTGTGATTGAGCCGCTTCTTCCTCGCTTTGTGGTCTGAACTTTTTCACACGATTGGTTGATTCAGTAGCTTTCTATTCCAGTAGTTTTTTTCTTTGAGCCCAATTGCCTGTTAGTTTTCTTCAGGTTGCTCGGTTTTCCATGTGGTTCAGGGTCCTGTGATTGTTTACTTCTTCTACTCGTAACGGCTGATAAATTGGTTTGATCAATTTTGTGTGGAGTACCACACCTAGAAAATCTCGCGTTCTTGTTTTTGTATGAGAAAATACCTGAAGATCTTTTAACTTGAACGGATGTCTTTGTCGTCATGGAGTTAAACCATTGACAATGTCTTACCCACTGGTGGCAAGCTTGTGTTCGTGTATTCTGGTGGCAAGTTTACCCACTGGTGGCAAGCTTGTGTTCGTGTATTCTGGTGGCAAGTTTTCTTCCAGTCTGGTTAACATAGTGTTTATCGCATTCATTTAACTAAAGTTTTAGATCACACTCGTCTTCTTTATTGCATCCAACCTTCCCTTTGGTTCTAAGAGGGTTCTTCTTAACGTGTTTGCAGGCCTGAGTGTGACGGTTATTATACGTTATGGTAAATGTTTTGCAGTTGCCTCCGTGACGTTTTCGATATACGATAGCGTAATTCTTACCTGTTCTAGCTGTATTGGTGAATCAGCTTTTTGGTATTTTTCTGAACATCTCTATATGAAATTCCTCAGGTACTTTGGAATGTCTGATGAAGTCTTCGCCCTTCTTTCTTCCTTGCCTCTGTTGTGTTGCAATACGTCTCAATCCGCTCAAATAGGGCTTAAACATTGCTCCACTTTTGGCCGTTTGAATGGCTGCTGTGGTGTTCCAGAAGCTGGTCTGTATACGTTTCTTTCCGGTGTATTTTATTCTGCAATTAGTCTTCTGTTTTTTTTTTGACGAACACATTGTGAATTGGATGTCGGGAAACAAGTTGTTCAGCAGTTGTTTAGCTCGCGACAGTTCAAATTTCTTCACATTAGCAAATGTCATCCACATATCATACCCATACTTCCCGTTTGATACCTGATAGCACAGTCGTCTTCAGTTTCTGCATTGTAATTTCCGTAAAAATCTAGAGATTGGTGATCCAATTGGTGTCCCTTTTGGTTCTTAGTAATATTTACCATTGAAGTCGAAGTAGGTTGTCAAGAACACGAAGGGAATGGTCCAATCAAATGCACTTAACGAACCGACCACAAAGTAATTTAGATTTCCAGGTGACAAAGCGAACTGCGCAAAAACCACCCCGGGATCAACCAGTCAATTCATAGCTACCAGATGTTGTCTGAAAACTATGCAACTACGCACTAACGAGGTCACCTCGATTGCTAATGAAACTTGCAATCCAACTGTCAAGCTCGGTGAACAGACCAACAAGCAAACCGAAATGTTTATTCGAAATAACGAATTGAGTATCGGAATCTAAGTTCTAGTTCTAGTTCGTTAAAAGATGAATATGGCGATTCTTGACCAGAAGATGTATTTGCCGTGATTTTTCTTAATAATATTTGAGTTACCTCTGCTATACTCTAACCCAGACGTTCTGAATATTACATTGTAATCTGAGATCCACTTGTATATATTCATCACATTGATCGTACATTTACATCGCCGTCACTCGAGTGGATATGCATATATACTTGCACAGCAAGGCCGGCAAGTTCCCACTGAGTGAAGAAAATTATTGTGTGCTGTAGGCCTCATCGAATTGTGTACGAGGTGAGCATGGAATCCCAACACCGTCGGACTAGGCTCCAAATAACCCACCCACGAATTGCAGACTGGACATTTTCACTCTGGAGCGCGGTTGAATCAAGGCGGCAAATAACTTGTCTAACAATACTTTCCTTAGGGCCTCCGGTTTGTTGTAAAACGATTTTGCGCCTACTCTTCCGGTCAGACGGCGGAAATTAAACTTTTAGTAGAGACACCGATGCAACGGTTTACTGGGGGCCAAACCTGAGTTACATTAACAAGAGCTTTTCAGAATAGCCTTAGTTCGACAGAAAGTGACATACTTAAACAAAGGGGTACACAACTGATTTTAGAAAATCTGGCAAGTGTTATCGATTATTTAGTTTTGGAACTTTATGTAGTCGCTTAGGAAAACCAGATCCCCGGCCATGTCAAAATATAACCAAGATTGATAAACGAACGAAATCAGATGATTTTCATACCCGAATTTCCCAATGTTCTTGATAGGGTAAAGGATGATTCGCCAGAGAGCTATTCAGTAAAATAAGAGTCGAACCTGCCTAACGAAATTTCATCCTGTGTAACACCTGATACTGCTAAGCAATCAGAATGCAATGGGCCTTGGCGACAGGAGATTTCCTGTTTTCACCCCTGGGGTAGGAATACGAATGAATATGCATGTAGACAACACAGCAGAAGGGGTGTTATTTACTCCAGCAATGATGCAACACAGACATTGCGGAAAATAATTGATAATAGGAAAATGTTTACCGAGCAAAGTTGGTTCAATCGAAATGTGATTTTAAAAAAACTGTTCGTAAAACTGCTTTTCTGAAATCCATAAAAATACGGAATAAATACTATCAGTGTGGTCACGGAAAGTTCAAGTGGATTTACGGGTAGATAAAATATTGTGAAAAGCATTCAGAAGATGGGTTGCGAGTATTCAGGAGGAAAAAGAAGAACAATGATATTCTCAAAATGGCGCGAACGCGAAGGTGTAGCATTACGTATAAACCTTAAAGAATCGGCGAATGGCACAAGTTCCACTTGTTATGCTATGATGTTTAGGCTGACTGTTTTGGCTTGTGTCAGACACGTGGAAGTTTCCCAGCCGATCTTGTGCACAATCTTGTTGTACATTGGCACGAAAGGCTTGAAAGTAGCATTAAATTCATCTCAGAACAAACCGTCCTTGGCTGTCTGTGCGCAGGTGCCTAGTTGTTTGACCTCTGTCGATCATCAAATTCGATTCGGGAGCCACCTTTTCGGATAATATCGTACCATGAAAGTGTTGTTTTGATATTCTATACAACCTGGTGCAGGCGTACAAATTTCCGTTTGGTTTTTTGTTCTTACGCTACTTTCGGTGTTTTAATTGCCGTTTGGGAGCAGTGTTATTCTTTCCCAAACAATCCTTACAGCTTAGTTTCAGCCACTACTTTCAAAATTGTTATTCGTGAAAGCCAGAATCTAAATGGCTAACACTGATTTAAACTTCTGGAAAGGGTTTGTTCTTAATTCACAATTGTTCACCAACAAAAATGTTGCCATAAGCTCCATCCAGAATAGTGCATTGGTCAAACGATATCAGTCCTCCGAACACATATTGCCATTCCAGTGCGGTGCAAATGTGTATGCACATTGCTTTTAAACTGACGACGATAGCAAATAAATATCAGTTCGTTCGTGCGCGTACGTGCAATTCACTTAACCTTCCTTACACATTTGGTCGCTGAACGGCGGCTTTTGATATTTATTCCACCAAATGTATCTTATACTGAACACTGACTGATAAGGAATAGTCTAATGAACTAATCGTAGACCAATTCTCTACCGTTTTCCGTGAAAAACAGCGTACACAGTATGCTACATAGTTGAGTACGGTGACTGAAGAGCACTCAGTCTTTTGTTCTGCTAATTACTAACCTGACGTCCCCTGGTCTTCAAGCGTTCGTTTTCTTGTCTGCAAAAGGATGATGAGAACCAGTTCCGAAGTCCTCTGTCTCGTGGCGTAGCCCACAGTAAAAGCACTATAAATGCGATGGGCAATGCAGTTGCTAACAGACTGTAACCAACTTGAGGTATCAGAAAACTTCACCTATGAGTTCTTGATTAGTATTTGGAACCCAGTCAGAGGGTTTAGTGGAATTAGTCAAGCCATGAGAATCTCATGCTTGTGAGCAATACGGGATTTAAGGCAGCTAAGCTGTTTGACTAATAAGTTGAAGTTGAATTCATCCATAATTTTCATGTCAGCAAGAGTTATGTTGGTAATGCCAAGCATGATCCTGGTGGTCGTGATAAGGGTTACAGTGAGGTTTACGATGAAATCCAGGACGTCACTGGTAATGATGATATCATCGTTGTGGTTGGTGGTTATGATATGAACGCCGGTTATAATGACGATGTGACGAAGGACAGTGATACGACCCGCTGATTCCTAGAAAGAACGAAAAATATCCATTTTGAAATCTGGTGGGATACTGCCAATGGGTGCTGACAAAATAAACTTGGGACAACATAAACAAACTGGAGGATGTTTTCTTCTGTGCGTGGTCAGTTGTCTTTTTGAATGTGACTCTGAAAACTAAACGGAATCAAGTTTCGCCAACTCCTGCCACAAACGTAGTTGCAAATTAGGCAAAGTTAGTTTATTACACTGATGATTCACATTACGAACTTAAATTATTAGCCTGGCATTTGTGTTGCTTTGTTTACATTATTGCTTGGTTTTTCTCTGGTAAGAACCCCAACACACACAGCAATTCCGGCTATTAAGTATTTACCCCCC